TGAACTCAATCATCTCTCATAGTTGCTGCTGCCAAGTTGACATCTGCCTGTACATTCTCCACCAATTTTTCCTTGTTTGTGAGCACCAGATCAAGAGCACGGTTCTTGATTGGCCTCTCCAACATTTGCACCAGGGAGTTGTCCCCAGCACTCTCCAAAAACTTCCTGGATTGCCCTCCCAGGAGATGTCAGGATGACTGAAGTCCCCCATGAGAACCAGATCCTATGAAAGAGAAACTTGCTAGTCTGGTAGGGAAACTCTGCTAGCAGTCTGAAGAAGGCCTCATCTACCTCATCCTCCTGGCCTGGTGGTCTATAGCAGTGATTTTCAAACTTTTTTGTACCAGGGTAAGGGGTGTGTGGGGTATTTACCCTCCCAGATTTGTGCACCCACAGCAGGTACAGGACTGCAGCCTGGCCACACCAGCATGGGCAGGAGCTGCTTCTGCAGCCACATGGCAGAGAGCTGAGCAGGGCTGTGAGACTCATTTCTGCTGCTGCTGCTGCCACCAGGACCCCTGTGCCAGCCCTGCCATCAGCAGTATAAGGAGTAATGCACATGGGGGGAAGGGGAAGAAGTGATGGGCATGCTGCCCTCTCCTCCTGCTGCCAGCTGCTCACACAGCAGAGCTGTAGTTCTACCCCATGCCATGGCCTCGCCGCTGCCACCACTCCCCTCAGGCTGCCCATGCTGCCTCCCACCCCACCTCTCCTTTGGCTTAGAGCTGCGGCCTGTGGGGAGCAGCAGTGATAGCCAAGTCTTGATGGTGGGGTACAGCCACAGTCCAGTGCACAAGCAGCTACTGGCAGGAGGAGAGGGCAGCACAGCCCCTACGTTATTCTTCACACTGCTGGTGGCACAGCTGGTGTGGGAGGTCTGGTGGTAGCAACGAGTCTTGCCACTTCGCTTTGCCCTCCAGTGCCAGGTCCTGCCACTAGGCCAGGGGCAGTTCCTGCCCAGTCAACCTGCAGCCCCGTGTCTGCTGTGGGCACACAAATATGGAAGGAGGCAAATGACCCCCCACACCAATCCTCCCTAACATGTTGCCTATACCCCCCTTCACCTCCTCCAATGTGTCATCTATCCCCTTCTCCCTCCGCCCCAGATTTACCCACAGGGAACTGCAGGAGCTGCTCTCCATGCTGCTTGGCTGCCACATGCACGTGTGCTTACGCACATGTATGTGGCATCCCCCTGCCTGATTGCACCCCCCTTGCTCCCCCCAGGACCAAACAGCCCCTGGCAGGTTGGTTTTCCACCTTTTTCTCCTTTTAAAGGAGAATCCATTTTTAAAGTTTGTTTGTGGTCCTTTCATATTTTCTTATGACCCACTTTTGGGTTCTGACCCAGGAGTTGAGAAACCCTAGTCTAAAGCACACACCCACCATGACATCCCCTCTGATCCTAACCCAGAGACTTTCAGAAAGCCTCTCTCCAGTTTTGTACAGCTGGACTGTCCAGCAATCATACAGCTCTTTTACATAAGGTGCAACTTCTCCTCCTATTCGCCGGCATCTGGCCTTCCTGAACAGTTTATACTAGAGACGTAGCAATACAGTGGTCCGGTATCAGATCGGTACCAATACAAAGAAAAATGTCTATATTGGATGTCAGCCCTACGAGGTGATAATTTGGTTGATAAATGCCCATGCTGTAGGAAAGGAAGAGGCATAGGGCAGGGCTGATCAACACCCCCCACAGTGATGGAGGGGGCAGGGGCAGGCACTGCCCAGTCTGGGTGGGGGGACTGAACAGAGGCACAGCTCATGGGGTGGGAGTGGCTCCCACTGCTGCTTGCACCCCGGAAGGGCAGGGGGGATGTGTGCCCCCAGATCTGCGTTGCACAGGGCGGGCTGCAGCTGCAGGGTGGAGTCAGAGCCAGTGCTGCTTGGGGTTTTTCCTGCTAGGTGCTGGGCTTGGAGTGGGCTCCGGTGGCACTGGGAGGAGGCTGCAGCCACTCCAAATTTCACTGCAACTCTGCTCCCAGCCCCACACTGCTGCCTAGCACAACTGTGGCTTTTCCTGGAGCTTGGGTGTTCAGTCAGGGCTGCACCAGCTGGCAGCGCAGGGCTGGGAGCAGAGCTGCCGTGAAATCTGGGGTGGCTGCAGCCTCCTCCCAGCACTACCAGAGCCCGCTCCAAACCCAGCCTCAGGCAAGAAAAGCCCTGCGCAACACGAGCTCCAGTTCCACCCTGCAGCTGCAGCCAGCCCTGCACCGTGCATAGCTGGGGGCACACGCCCCCATCCTCCTGGGGTGCAAGCAGTGGTGGGAGCTGCCCCCACCCCACGAGCTGCACCTCCATCTCGTGCCCTACCTACCCCCCTACCCCCCAGGCCTTGGCTGGGCAGCGCCTGCCCCTGCCCCATTCCATCCCTCACCGCAGGGGGCATTGATCTGCTCCCCCCAACACCCCTTCCACCACACTGGACTTACCACCAGAAGGCAGCTGTATCGGATACCAGATCGGTATCGCCCGATATGCCTCCTTAAACATCAGCTATCAGTACCAGCCCCCAAAATTCCCCAAAATTGGTGCACCCCTAGTTTATACCCATGACAGTGCTCCAGTCATGTGTACTACCCCAACAAGTCTGCTATTCCAATAATATCATAGTCCCATGACTGTGGGAGGACTTCTGATTCATCCTGCTTGTTTCTCAGGCTCCATGCATTCATGTACAGACATCTGAGGTAACTAGTCAATTGCCCTACTTTCTCAGGAAGAGTAAGGCCTCCCCCGTTGTCGCCTCCTGCTTGTGCTTCCTGCAGGTCACCTGCTTCCCCACTTAGCTCAGAGGTTTGGTCTCCATCCCCTGGCAAACCGAGTTTAAAGCCCTCCTTACTAGTTTAGCTAGCCTGTCTACAAAGATACTCTTTCCCCTCTTCGGCAGGTGTATCCCATCTCTTCCTAGCAATCCTTCTTGAAACAACATCCCAGGGCTGAAGAAGCCAAAGCTCGATGACACCATCTGCACAGCCATGCACTGATCAGTAGGACGCTCCTGCCTGAGCCTTACTGCTTGACTGGAAGGATCGAGACCACCACCTAAATCCCTGCCCCCTTCACCCTTGCACCAAGCCCTAGAGTCACTTTTGTGACTGTTCCTTATTGGTCTAATTGCACCTATTGTGACCAAGAGGTACATAAAATATGGCTTAAGGAATTATTCATCTCAATACCCATTTCTGCATGCTGCCTGATGCCCCGAGTAGATGCGTTTACTATAGCGATCATCTATAGCAGGGGCGGGCAGAATGCGGGCCAGGCCAGATGCAGACTGCAGGGCCCCTAAAAAAATTTAGAAAATTAATATTTATCTGCCCCTGGCATGTGGTCCTTGATGGCTTGCCAAAACTCAGCCTTTTTCCACCCAAAATAATTGCCCACCCCTGATCTATAGTGCTTCTGCTCAAGTTGCATTTCTCCTACATTATGCCTCCAGTTTCCCTACTTCCTGTCCTTGTCTTGAAAAGTATCCCACTTGCCTGCTGTGTGCTGGAGAACAGTCTGTGAATGTGACTAGGGGGATGCGAGGGGGAGACGCAACAAGGGTAACAGGGCACCGAATGAGACTGCTGGGAAGCGAAAGGGAACAATGCAAATGGGGGGGCAGGGGTCCTTCCTGCATGGGCAGCCCAAACTCCAGGCATTAGGAATAGTGCTGAGATGCCAACATGCTGCTCTGTTAACTTCTGGCACCGGGGACTCCTAGATACACCAATGCCACAGCTGGGAAAACAAGAGTCCTTCCCACTCCCCCTCAGCCTCCACCTCCTTTGCCAGGCTCTACACCTTCCCCATCAACACTTGAATGG